GCATCCCGCCCGACCTGGGCTTCTCGTGCTTCTCCGTGCCGCTGCCCGCGCGTCCCCGGCCCGAGCCCGAGCCCGAGCCCGAGCCCGAGCCCGAGCCCGAGCCCGAGCCCGGAGCGCGAGCCCGGGAGCGCCGAGCCTGGCTGGGGTGAGTGAGCTGGGCGGGGACAAGGGCACCTGAGAGGCAAGCGAGTCCTCAGGTGTACCCCTGAGGGGCGGGGGTCGAGGCAGGCAGAATACCCCCCTCCGGGGCACAAGTGCTGGGTTGGAGAGGGTTGGGGGGGAGGTCAGGGTTGGTGGTAGGACTGATTAAGAGCTGGCCCCTGCTCTAAGGTGCCAGAGGCAGGTGGCTGGGAAGGTGCCGGGTGAGGGCCGTTTCAGGGCCAGGATATCTCTGGAGGCAGACACCAGCCCTAGGGGCAGAATTTCTCTTGGAGACCGGGGTGGTGGAAGGAAGGAGTTAGTCCCAGCTGGGCAAAGGGAACTGCTACCTGAGGTTCAGAGTCGCGAGCAGAGGGCATCAGGCAGGTGCTGTTTTCCTGAGGCTCTTTTCCCAGTCTGCCAGCTGGACCTGGCTGCTGACACCTCCCTTCTGGCTTGCGATGGCTGTGAGGTGTGGGACCTTTCTGTAACTATTCCCCCACAGGTGAAGGCAGTTGCAATTAAGAGACACCGAGGGGCACAAGAGGGCACCCCCACTTCTTTAATAGGTGTGAAACGATAAGTCTTTCAGTTTCTGTCCTCCTTTGCTTTCATGCCAGGGAGAATTTTTCCTCCTTCCTCCTTAGAGAATGCTCTGCAAAAGGTGGACAGGAGGAAGCATAGGTCCCTGAGCCTGCCAAATACCTAGAAACTCTTTATTTCTCCTGAGGCCTCTTTCTGTGGGCTGATATCAAACTCTTTCTCCAGGCATGCTTGTTTTCTACTGTGGTTCTAGATGGGGGCCATTGGGTGGGGTTGGGAATTTAGTAATTTCCTTGATGGCTGCGGAATTCCCTTTACTCCCTGAAACCCCGCCCTGCATCTCTGACTCCTGACCATGGTCAGACTGGCCCAGCACTCACGGTGCAGGAAACCGGCAGGTACCCTTGAGGGACCACAAGACTAGGGGAACTCCACCTCCAAATCCCCAGACCAGAGGAGAGGTGCACATTGGGGCCCTACAAAACTTCTGAGTCAAATTTCCTTGCCTTAGGCAGGTAAGGGAACCAGAGCCAACCTTAGCTGGCCCCTTTGATGCCTTGCCTGGGGAAGGTTGTAACTGGTAAATAATTAGCATCCGCTGTGATTGTGGACAGGCTGCCTACACGTGCCTCTGCACCTCTTTCACCCAGGATATTTGGGAGTCAGGGGCTCTGGGGGACTGCTAATCCAGAGATTTGCATGCCTCTAAGAGGATTCTGGCTTCCTAGAACCCTTCCTGCATTTCCCAGGCTGACCTGCATGCCATTCCCCTTGTGGGAGGTGAGGATGGGGTAGGGCTGCTTCCTTTCATGCCAGGGAGGTGGCCAAGGCCAGGGTGGCATCCTGAATGCAACTTTCAGAACTTGAGAGGGAGGGGTAGAGGGAGACAAAGTCTTCCTTGTCCTACCCCGGTATGTCCTTCTCCAGGTTCTTTGTGACCTGCTCCTCCTGCTTGTCTCCTGTTCCCCGCCTCCTTGACTCCTCCTTGGCTTTGTCGTCCAGGCTGGACAGAGTCCCTGGCATGGTCTTGCTCTCTGCCTCCTCTGTGCCGTAGATTTCTCTGGTCTGCTTTCCAGGCTGCCAGTGTAGTCTCCCCAGCCCTCCCCTTTCCCTTGCCTCTGAAACCAGTCCGGCCAGTTTGCAGGGGCCTGGTTCCTCACGGTTGTGTTTTTTCCCTACTGGCCAAGCAGCTCTAGCCTGGCTCTCAGGTTTCTGTTTTTTAGTGGACTTAGCCTGGAGTCCACTTGGGGGGGGGGGTCTCTTTTTTGGATCCACAGGAACCCATTTCTCTCCATAACTCTTATGAGAAAACGGTAGCTGAGTAATCAAGGTCACTGAGCTGTTCTTTTCTATTTTGACCATTTTCTTTCCTTGTCACCTCCAAAGGGGTTCTAATCACTGCATCACTAGTTGTCCCAGTTCCTAAATCTGCCAGTTATGTACCGTCCAGTGTATGACCTGCTGTGTGTCTCCGTCCTTCCTCCACACACCCGAAACCACCCCACCTCCTTCCTGCCAGAAGTCCAGGGACCCTGTCACTCCTAGTTGGAAGCCAGACGCATATGGCTGGGCCAGAGGTGATGGAATTGGGGCAGGGCGAGCTAATGAATAACTCAGGGAGAAGTGACTCTCTGGTACAGGTCTAGAGTGTCCTCCCCCTCCTGGCAGGCAGGGATGGCAGAGGCAGACGGATGAAGCTGAATTAACTTGTGGCCTGCTCTCTTACCAGAGTACAGTTGGTGGTGAGGAGAGCCCTGGGCATGTGCCAGCGGAGAGAAAGGCAGGGTCAGGCATCTGGTGAGAGCACAGGCCCTGGGCTCCATGTTGCCTGGTGCTCGATCACTGTTTACCTGTCTCTGGGGTTTACGCAAGGCCTTGGAGCTGCCCTGCTCCCTGGGCCCCGCCCCTCTGTCCTCGTAACTGAAGGCGGGTAGGTTTCGGGTTTTCCGTGTTGAATCATTTAGAGCCCTGTTTTCCGACCCACCCCAAAGATCCCTGCTGCCCTCCTGGCCTCTGACCCACATGTCCTGGAACCGAAAGCTATCGAAGTCAGGGAGTTATCAGACTTAAGGGAATGTGCCGGAGCACCTCCGAACAATTTGGCTCTCTGACCCAAGGGACTGTGCCCTCCACAGGGCCTCGACTGTGCCCTCCACGGGGCCTCGACTGGGAACTCCTTGACCTGGATCTGAAAGATCAGTAGATGTACTGACAGGGTAGGCTGCGTCATGAATAAATCACATGGTGTCCGAGAGCTGGCAGTCTAGGCACGCTTGGTTCAGAGATCATGACTGCAGGGGCACGGAGTCTGACCAGGAAGTGGTCTTGTCACTAAGGACAATGAGAAATGGCCATGGGGGATCTCTGGGCAAATCTCTCTGCTGTTTTGGAGTCCACCTTGGTTCAGGATACAGCCTTTAGCAAATATTTATTGACCATCCAGTCCCTGAGCCAGTTACTGGGGAGATAGTGATCAATTGATGGCCTGGTCTTGGCCCACCAGGAGTTTATAATGTAGTGGGGGAGACAGACAGGAAACAGGTGATCTCCCTCATAAGTGCATGAAGAGGAACTGAGGCAGACCCACAGACGGACAACCGTAGATCATGTAACACGGATCTGACCTGGTTTGTGGGACAGTGAATGTGTGGGACCTGACCTGGTTGCTGGGAGGGAGTGGTCAGGAAAGGCTTCTCTGAGGAAGTGACATTTTTCTGTGAACCAGGTTGAGCCAGTAAGTTCCTGTTGGAAGGAGTAGTAACAGTAGTCAGCTTCGTGACAGGCATATTCTGCTAGGCGCTTTCATGTTTAATATTTTATTTCCCACCTTTCTGTTAAAGTAGAACTTCAGTACAATAAACTGCAAACATCGTCAGTGTATAACTTAACATTTTTTACGGTTGTATACACCTCTATGAGTATTTATCTAGTTCTCACAGATTACCTTGTGAGGTGTTATAATGCCCATTTTATAGGTGAGGAAACTAAGGATTAGAAAAGTGATTTGTCCAAGGTTCTAGACATCAAGAGCTGAGCTAGGTTTTCGGGCCAGATCCTCACTCTAGTCCCGTGCCTTCTGAATACATGGTTTGGAGAACTACTTTACCTGTGTACCTTCATAAACCGTGTGTGTGTGTGTGTGTGTGTGTGTTTTCTTTTTTTTGACGAGGTTTTTGCTACAGGGTGCTTGTGCTCGCCAGAAAGACAGACAGAAAGCGAGAAGTCACCCCCCAGGGAGGATGGCCACACCACAATCTCTTCTCCTCCATTGCCCTCTTGGGATCTTGGGCACATACACATGCACCCAGCATGAGTTTAAGCTGCCGGGTCCAAGACTTAAACCACGGTCGACTACCATGGTCTCTTTTCTTTTCTTTTTAAATTTTTTAAGAGTTTTTTTTTTTTTTTGTCATAGGGAGTGTGCACTTGCTGGAGAGAGAGAGAGAGAGAGAGAGAGAGACAGAGCCGTGAGAGGGAGAGTAAGAAATCACTCCCCACCCCCACTCTGGGGAGATGGCCATGTACAATCCCTTCTCCATTCTCCCAGGATCTCGGGAAGGCACACACACGAGCCCGCTGTGATTTTTGTCACTGGCTCTGGGACTTGAACCATGGTCAACCATATGGGAGTCCAGCAACATAACCTCTATGCCATCTGCTGGCCCACTTCATAAACCTTTTTTTTTTTTTTTGAGAGGTTTTTGCTATAGGGCGCATGCGTTCGCCAGACAGAGATAGAGAGACAGAAAGCAAGAAATCACCCCCCAGGGGGGATGGCCATGCCGCAATCCCTTCTCTGTTCTTCTCTTGGGATTTTGGGCACACACGCACACACGCCTGGCATGAGTTTTAAGCCTCCAGGTCCAGGACGCAAGCCATGGTCGACTACATGGGAGTCCAGCGACATATTCATTACACTAACTGCTGGTCCCTCACTTCATAAACCTTTGAAGATTCTATGGTAAAAGTTCTTGTGGGCCATCTCCTATTTATTATTATTTAAATAATTATTTTATTTAACTTTATTTATTTACTTATTTTAGTTTGACCAGAAAGGGAAAGTGAGAAAGCAAGCCGCCAGGTTCCAGACCTGAACTGCAGTAGGCCATGTGGGATTCCAGTGCCCTAACCACCATGCCATCTGCCGGCCCCTGTTGTTACTATTTTTAAAAGTTTGCTGTAGGGGCTGGCAGGGGGGGGGGGGGGTAAGGGCTCTGGACTCTCACATGGCTGACGCAGTTCGAGTCCTGGACCTGGTGGCTTACTTTCTCAATTTCCTTCTCTCTCTCTGTCCCTCTCCAGTCAAATTAAAATAAATTAATAAGTAAAGTTAAATAAAATAATTCTTAAAAAAAAAAGAAGAAAAAAATTGCTGTAAGGTATGCACACTCACCAGAGAGAGAGAAAGAGAGAGAGAGAGAGGAAGCCACCAGGTCTAGGACTCAAACTGCGGTTGACCAGTTGGCCCTGGGTGAGTCCAGAGCCTTAACCATCATGCCACCTGCTGGCCCTCTTTCATCCATTTCTTAAATGGAGCCTCAGAGCCAAAAAGGTGAAGGATCATTCCCAATAAAGGCCCCTCCCTCTCTGTTCCTTACTCTCTAAGGGAGGAGCTGGGAATGCTAAGAATGCTCTTCCTCCTAGGAAGCCTGATTCCCCCACCAACCCTTTCTCCCTTGGAGATCTGCTCTTGCTGTCCCTTCCCTTCTCATCTCACCCTGGTTTCTTAGCTTCTGGCACATCTACAGTCTTGAAAGGGACCTTGCCAAGTTTCCTTGGCCAGGACTCCACGGGGAAGTTGAGTTGGGTATGTTTGCGTTTCTGTCTGGCACGTTAGAGGCTCCTCCTCCAGTTTGGTGCCAGGCTCTGGTGGAGACTAGCAGAAGGACTGGGGAAGCTGGTTTTTTAAATATTTTTTTATTATTTGCTTGGAAGAGAACCTTTTCCCAAAGTTGCTGGAGCCAGAGAAGACCTAGGATACATTCGATTTCCTGATTCTGAGCTCGGGTAATGCCGGCCCTGGAGGATGGCCCTAGCTGTGGCTCTCAGGCAGGACACATCTGCCCATTCTGGGACCCCTTGGACTGGCACACGTAACCCTTGCTTAAGTCGTCCCTTGAGTAGGTAGTGCATCTACATGGTTCCGTAGTCAAAAGGGACAGGAAAATAGACACACAGTAGAAAGCTCATCTCTTTCTACTTTCTAGAGAGTAGAGACTCCCATCTCTGTTCCTAGCTCTCAGTCCCTCTTCAGCCGCATCACAACTGCCTGTTTCTTTGGGTGTCTGTCTTCCCAGACATAGGATGCCACATTTTGTAGTCTATGCATTTAAAAAATTGGTTTTTGTTTCTTTTTTTTTTTTTTTTTTTTTTTTTTTTTGTGCCATAGGGACTGTTCGCTTTCACCA